TAAACATGCATAATTATTTAATTTTATGTGTTTAATAAATCCTGGAATTTCCTAGGCATGTACAGAAACACGAATCAAAGGGAAAGAGATAGAAGAAGAACTTGCCTTAAACTTTCGGACTGAAAGTTAAACTTCTTCTTCTTTGATCTTCTCTCTAAAGGATTTTCTCCTCATTCCTTCCTCTTTCTCCTTCTTTTCACTCCTTTTTCAACCTATAGATGTGTATTTATAGGCTAAATAATAACCCTATTCCTTTTTCAATTCCAAGTCAACTTAATAAAGAAAAATAAAAAGAAAAATGAAAATATTAAAAAGGTAACTTAAAATATGTTACGTATATAATCTATGTATATCCTTATTAATTAAATAAAATATATATATTAGATTATTTATTAATACTAAAGTTACCATAATATTAAAAGGTAACTTAAAACATGTTAAGTATATAATCTGATATATATATTTTATTTATTTAATGAGGATACAGATAGATTATATACGTAACATGTTTTAAGTTACTTTTTAACCCTATTCCTTTTTCCATTCCAAGTCAACTTAATAAAGAAAAATAAAAAGAAAAATGAAAATATTAAAAAGGTAACTTAAAATATGTTACGTATATAATCTATGTATATCCTTATTAATTAAATAAAATATATATATTAGATTATTTATTAATACTAAAGTTACCATAATATTAAAAGGTAACTTAAAACATGTTAAGTATATAATCTATCTATATCCTCATTAAATAAATAAAATATATACATCAGATTATTTATTTATACTAAAGTTACCATAATATTAAAAAGTAACTTAAAACATGTTACGTATATAATCTATCTGTATCCTCATTAAATAAATAAAATATATATATCAGATTATTTATTTATACTAAAGTTACCATAATATTAAAAAGGTAACTTAAAACATGTTATGTATAAAATATATGTATATCCTTATTATATAAATATATAAAATATATACATCAGATTATTTATTAATACTATAGTTACTATAATATTAATAAATTACTTTCCTTTTTATATATATGTATATACATATATATCTATATATATACATATACAACTATACATGGGTAATTATCCATACCCATCCAACCTCCTATCCAAATAGTTCATGGGACCCAATTAGTTAACACATTACCACTAACCATAACCATAAAATAAAATAAAATAAAACATTTAATCATTTAATTTACAATTAATTACAATTAATCAAATATATCATTTAAGCACACAATCTAATTAAACAAATAATACAAATAACACCTAGACAAAATACAAATAACACATAGATAAGTAGCCAATTAATCAAGTAACACTTAATTCAATTAAACACATAAACAATTAGTCAAATAATCAATTAAATAATTAAAAAAAATACAATAAAAATAAATAAATAAATACCGAGACCATCCTTTTAAAATTAAGGGTATTACATATATATATATATATATATATATATATATATACACACATATTGGGTAAGGTTCATAATATATATTGTTTCCTTTCCTCTACTGCATGCTGTTCTGCAATTTTCTTGGACTTGAAGTTTGAATGTTTCAGTGGTATGTCTGCATATATATATATATATATATATAGCTGGATTGACAGGTATAGGCAGGCAGCGGAGACATAATATATAATGTGGTGAATATATATGGGTGTGAACGAGATTGTTGGAGTTTTTGAAACATTGTTAATGTCAAATAGTCCTATTCAAGCAATGGTTTCAGTGCGCTTCCTTATAGCGTGCTTTTAGATTTCTTCTGATGTTATGTTAAGGTTGTCTTCTGTCCTGAAATGAATTTCTCATAATTTTAATTACTTCAACTCCCTTTTTTTGGGGAATCAGCGGTATATACATGTGGAGAGAGAGAGAGAGAGAGATTAACTTGGTGTATATATATATATATATTTTGGAAAAGTGTGCGTTCCTTATATTATTTCTATATAAATGCGTTTCAAAGTTGGTGAAGTTTGTTTCGCACTTTGCAGGTTTGATTCAGTGTTGCAAAAGCTTCATAAAATCAAAAGCTTTATATTATTCATATATACATAAACTGCCACTGAAAATAGCACAATCTTTATTATGCAAAGAGTAATACTCCAGTATACAAACCACTATTAAGTGTCCAACAAGGACCCTTTGTTATTTATCAATAATATTATTAAGTTATCTCTTATTTTAGGTATTTATCTCGAATCTAGGTCTAGAGTGATTATCAATATTTGTAGTACAGTGGTATCCAAGATTAAAAAAAAAAAAAAGAAAAGAAAAGAAAATGTTGAGACTTGAGAGTTTGAGTCAAGATCCCTTAGAGGGGCAATTTAATAAATTCATTGCATTATGGATAAAAAATTTAAATGAATATAATAATAACAAGGATAATATGGTAAAAGTGCAATAATAAACATCTTTGACAATGACATTAACGTGTATATGTCGACGGTAGAGTCGGTTCACAATGTGACAAGGCTTGTCTGGAAATTGACGTGAATGAAAAGTTTTCTTCTACCAAGAAAATAAACATGGTAATAAAGTCTGTAAAGCCTATGGATATATATGTATATATATATATATATATAGTCAAATTGCAGAAAGTGTACCACAAATAAAAACACAATAACTTTTCCTGCTATATATTTAGGTTACTTCTACGAAGAAAACAAACATGGTACGTAATAAAGTCTGTAAACCCTTATGGATATATATATATATATTCTATAAAATCAAATTGCAGAGAGTGTACCACGAATAAAAACACAATAACTTTTCCTGCTATACATTGATTTCTCCATAGTATTCCTTGTTCCACTTTCCTCTTGTTTTCCATGCAAGTCGGTTCACAATGTGACAAGGGTTGTCTGGAATCGACGTGAATGAACGGTTTTCTTCTACCAAGAAAACAAACATGGTAATAAAGTCTGTAAAGCCTGTGGATATACATATATATATATATATATATATATATATAAAATATTCTATATAGTCAAATTGCAGAAAGTGTACCACAAATAAAAACACGATAACTTTTCCTGCTATATATTTAGGTTACTTCGATCTACGAAGAAAACAAACATGGTAATAAAGTCTGTAAACCCTCATGGATATATATATATATATATATATATATATATATATATATATAATCAAATTGCAGAGAGTGTACCACGAATAAAAACACAATAACTTTTCCTGCTATCCATTGATTTCTCCTTAGTATTCCGACTTCCACTTTCCTCTTGTTTTCCATGCACCCCGGTCCATATTTGCACCATCCATAGTGTGTGTGTATATATATATATATATATATCCTTGGCCACATCCATAGTAGTTTCACTACATTTACTTCAAAATTAATATGATAAAGTTACATAACATACAACCATGAAAAAAAATTGTTTTACGGTTCCAGAGAGAAAAACTTGTTTTGAGCCTGAGTGTATATATGTACACCAAATTCAAAAAAAAAAAATAGTTAAAGGATCCAGTGGAACCCAACACTGCTGTGAGTGAAGGGCACTGAGTTCACTTTGTTTGTGAGTAAGGTGCACCGTATACTCGACTCAAACAAGTTATTTTCTACAGGAATAGGATCGATATACATTATTACTTTTGTAATACCACTATTTAATTCATCTTAAAGCAGTTTTGCATCAAATTAATAAACATTATCATCGCTTGGGAGTACAATTATGAATAGGTCTGATTCTGCACGTGTAACACCTGACCAAGTAGAAATTGAACAAAAACGAAAAGGGAAATTGTATGTATATATATATATATATATATATATATATATATGGGAGAAAAATGTGGGGTTGTTGTTCACGTGGATTGTACAATAAAGAGAAAATGAGGAGGAAATTTCTCATTTTCATTTGGTGTGTTTCATGCTTCAAATGTCCATTTTGTACAGTGCAGGCAATGGCTAGCTTTATGGTTGTGGGGGCAAGTGGAAAAGATAATATGGAATATTTATTACAAAACTATTCAATTTTTGGACCCATCAAATCTCTTCTGCTCAGTTTGTATTTGAAAAAAAAAATTAGTTAAAACTAAAATTTTAACATTTCCATATCAAATAACTCATTTAGTAATTCCAAATACAATTGCTAGGTTTCGTGACAATAAGAGTAGCACTAGCTAGCATATTATTTTTTATTTTTACTTATTTGTAGACGCTCATTGGCTTCTGTCAATAAATATTGGGAGTTGCAATTCATCACAATTGAAAAATATCTCTTCTCAACTTGATTTATATATAATATAAAGATATATATATATAGTAGTACTGTAGTATATGATAAGTTGATAACAGTAATGAAGAGTCAAATCAGTATTGCTTTTAGCATAATCCTAAAAGTCGTACTCGTTCATTGATTCAATATGGATAATGATATTGTCTGAGTTCTGGAATTGGTTTGTAAAACGATATTGCACACCCCCATTGCCATTGGACACCCATCCAACCAAGCCTACCAATCACACATTGCCGCCACTTTTAAATCCAATATTGTGCTCCTTCATCACTTGTTCGCGACTTTGAAGGGTTAGTGATGTATGATCAATTATCTATTTCTCTCTTCTAGCACTCATTTTATCCAAAGTCCTTTCTCTTACTCTTGGGTGCCAACTTTCTTTTTGACTAATTCAATGGTGAACAATCTTTAACGGTTTATTTATGTTGTCTAATCAATTTGATTTAGTATTTGCCTACAAAATTGGAATTGAAGGGTATTTTTTATTTATTTTAAAATTGACAACTTGCAATTTGGACTGCCATATATGGTATGCTGCTTTTCAACCAAATTCCATTCTTTAAAATCTCAAAATGGCGATTTCAGATTTGTTGGTTATTTCAGGATTTTATTACAACTTTTTTACAAGCACTATTTAACAAAATATTATAGAAATTAAAGACTGAATCTGACAAAGAAAATTATTGAAGAAAGTGGAATATATAACTATATATATAATTATATATACTGTATATTGTTTTTTGGTAAGGAAGATCGACAGTGGAGATATTACATGCCATTTTCTACAATAAACATAGTGATAAATGAATGAACAAAGTTACACACGTTACATATATATATATATATATATATATATATATGCTTCTTCTGTAATTTACATAATCTAAACAAGTGAAAGAATAAACAAGAACCAGCTGAGCTCCAATCCTACCTACACCCAAAAGCTACAAGCTGGTCTCTGAAAAACCTTTCACGTACAATACGAATACTATATCCAGGTAGGAGATTCCGAGGACGTATCTAAAACAATCCCTCTGACAAATCTCCGACTATATAACACACTGACAAATCCCCAAATTAGGCCTGTGTTGCCAATTCATTTGAGCTTACAAAAGTACCATGAAAACCATATGGAACTCTAGAAGGAAGCTGAATTGCAGCCTCTAACTGCATAGTCATGGCGTTTACGATTTGAAGCTCCGATTTCCGTGTCTTCTCGTTGTGCACGAAAGCTAAGACATACCCATCATCCTCTGTTTCCGAAACAGAGTCTTTTGGAAGGAACAGAGGCTCACCACCATACCTTTGATCACCATAAACATGCTTCTTTATTTCTCCGGTAAAGAGGTCAATTTTGGCAAACCCGGAGACTTTAGGCCAAGGCTCGGCAATGGCGAGGTAGGCGAACTGGGTTCTCCGTCCGAGCTTGTTCCGATTCACCATTCCAGCCTCTAAGTTGACTTGGTCACCGGAGTTGCTTATTACAGGACGGCGAGTGGACTTACCGGTCTTCAAATTGAGTCGAATTTCGGATAGTATGCTTCTCAATCCCTCGTCGGATTCGTTGAAAATGGAGTCGGCCGGAGTCATGCATGACCCGATCACGACGACTTCATGGGTCTCTGGTTCTTCCCAAGCATTCCAGAGATGGAAGCAAAAACAGTCACTTGTTTCGACCCATTTGATTTTTGAAGCATCACTTGCATACTTATCAAGAATGCCGAAACGGGCAATCTTGTTCTTGTCATACACCACCGGCGAGCCGCCCCTGATCATTTCCGGGAGCTTGAACACCACCTGCTGGTCCGGGATGACCACGAACCGCTCTGTTATGGCGAAGTCATGGATCATGGTTGCCTCTGGTAATGGGATTTCGATGTCCGGTGACTTTTGACCGGACTTGGAAAATTTGAAGTACTTGAGGTGGGGTTTTTGGATGACATCGTAGCTGAGAGAGAAGAGCTCTTCGGAGAATGGGTCGAGCTTGGGATGTGCGATCATGGATGAATTGAGCTGACCGTCGAAGTCATACCTGCAAACTGTCTGGAGGTCGCCGGAGGGGGTGACGCGGATGTGGTACGGCAGGTCATCCTCTGACATGGCGAGGAGGCGGTTATTGAAGTACACTAGACCGGCGTTGGCGACCCCGATGCCGTGTTGGTGATCGAGGAGGCCGAAAAGGCCACGAGCGTAGAAGAGTAGTAGTCTGGCGATGCCAGAGTGGCCGTGAAGCTCGCCAATGGCTTTGGGGAACACCGGGCGGCCTAATGCCCGTTCTTGAACGAGCCGTTGCGTTTCAGTGAACCGGCAGGCATAGCTGGCGGAACCGCCTTCAAGCTTGACAGCGTGGACCATGCCGTCACCGTCGAAGAGGTGGTGGCCGGCGACCGGCTCAAAAAGCGGGTTGGCGCCATTTCGGACATAAACACCTTGAATGCATTGAGGTATTTTTCCGGTGACTGGAAGGGTGTGGTGGACGGGGTGCTCTGGCACGGGAGCGAAATTGCCAGCAATTTGGATGGTGGGGTCAGCTGTTTTGGGCAGAGGATGCTGGAGCTCACATGCAACTAGGGCGGTCTCGACTGCATCGAAGGCCATGGACATAGCTCTTTGAAGGAAATTCCATTGTGAAGATGAGGTTGAAGATGAAGAGTTTGGTTTTGTTTTTGTTTGTGGGTATGTAATGGTATTGGGACGAGTAGTAGTAGGTGGTGGTGTTGGATGGGTTGAAGTGTGTTGTTTTGGGAAATGGAGTATGGAAGGGGTGGTGGTTTGGATAGAGCAATTTATGTTGGTACTGTTTCGGGTATGGATGGGGTTTTGTAAATAAAGTGAGGATGAGCAAGAAGATGCTGCAGAAGCCATGACTAGCTCGATCACAAGGTATGATAAGTGTGTGTACTTTGTTCCTGAGATTGGTGGTGGTGGTGGTGGTGGTGGTGGTGGTGGTGACGGTGAAGTTGAGAGTTATGTAAGAAAGAAATGGTAAAGAGTGTGCTTGTTAACTTTGAGGAGAAATACGAGAGCAGGGTTATATATAGAGAGAGTTGGCGTAGGCATGGAGGCCCACCTCATACATTTAGAGAAAACCACGTGTTAATATATGGAGAGGGGATGGGAAATTTTTTATTTTCTTTACTTAGGTAAATAAGGACCAATATTCTTCCGTAAATGTGGGCCAACACTTACATGATGAATGCGACATAATATTAATACGTCAAAAAATAATATTCGTATAATTATGTTTCTGATACCGATATTTTAGAAAAAATTGTTCATACTGCCTTAACCAACAATCATATATATATATATATAAGCATATAAATTATTACGTAGTATATTACATTGTTATGGGAGTACGTTTTGTGTAACAATTTTTGAAAAGAGAGAGTTTTCTTAATTTTTTGTAGTATCATATAATTTGAGTGTTTTTTTATTTGCCTATTCCATGAAAAATGCGGTATTGTGCCGTTTACCCAAAAACTTTCGGTCTTGGCCCATTCCACACGACTCTTACCCCGCGTTCTGCCCTCTAAAGGTGAAATGTGCAGGTCACATCAAATACCCCCACACGCTATTAGTTACCCCCTCTCTCTCTCTCGCCTAACATTTTCTTCTCAGCTCTTTCTACTTCTAAAAGTTATACTTCTCATATGCCATAAATCTTTTGAATTCCGAATTTCCATCCCTTAAGCAAAACATTAAATAAATTAAGTGAATAAAAAAAATTAATGATAGGGAGTGAAATAGTAGAACACATTCAATTAATTTTATGTAAGCATTGGTACTTACATAAATCAATCGGAATTGACCAATTTCGAACTCCAAATTATTATTTTTTTTTAAAAAAATTTGATTGTAATATTGGCATATGCGCTTCTTAAAGGAAGAAATAATTTAAGGAGTTCAATTCTGATACGTTGTTTATTTAAAAAATAATGTGAAATCGCATATGGTAGGCGTTTGAATGTCAAAAATTTATTATGCACGGCAAGTTTTGCCTAAATTTTATGAGAGAACGCTACCTATCATCGTTTATGTTAGGTGTTAGTTGTTTTACTTAAAAATCTATTATGTTAGGTGTTTTATCACCGTTTATAACAGAAATGATAAACATTATGAATGGTTTTCATAACATAGTATCACGAATGATATGGCAGTGAGTTGGTAACCAAGGAGTATAATTTAAAAATAATTTTTTTGAAAAGAAAATAGGAGAAGGGATAGCAACATAGAATATAGAGATACAATTACTTTGATTGATAATTATATACACTCTTTCGACTAATCAACAACTTTCATAATAGTACTATAATGTGTTATTCTAAATCTGAAATTTGCATTATAACTCCTAAATTAGAATCATGTTTCTAGTATGGTAAGATTAGGTTGTGTAAGTGTGTGTGTGTGTGTGTGTGTATATTTATATATAAGTGAATATTAGGTTGTGTAAGTGTCAATTGATGTTGTGAACTACAGACTATGTTGTAGTGTCAAGATTATTCAAAAACTCCCAAGCATTTATTTAAAAATTTTGGTTAGTGAGGACAAATTTTTTGTTTCAGAAAATCGGGATGTTCATGGAATTTAATTAGGGTTCATGTGCCCAAGAAAATTACATGTAGATGATTAAATTAGGATTTCTATTTCAGTTTGATAATTTGTTAGGGAGAAAGAGTTGAAAAAGAAAGGTAAGTCCGATTATTTAGGGAAAACAATAATAATAATTACTAAGTTTGATGGGAGAGAGAAAGGATGTTGTAGGTAGGGCCGAGCGGAATGAATTTTAGGGGTGAGAAAATAAAAGTTTTGTCGTAATACCATCATGATATTCACTTTAAAATTTTGTTTCATGATATGTATCAATATTCTAATTTATAATGAAAAAAAAAATGTGGGATAAAATTTTCTTGATAGTGTTAAGAAATCGACCATGGGGATCTTGAATTTGGGGTTTAAGCTATCAGTTAGACTAGTCTAAACAACCAGATTAAACTGGCTGGTGGACACACAGCTAATTAAATTTTAATCCTATCCTAAGATATACTCCAATAAATATCTTACTACTTAATAGGGAGCATGTGATAGTTAGGTGCCCCATTAAGCAGCATCAATGTATCTTCTTTTCATATTGGTCGTTTGACTCGTTTCTCAATAAAGTTGCATTTTATAATATCACCGTTATTGTTATTATTATAATTTGTGGTGTTAATTTGATTGTGTAGCTAGCTAGAGATTTGTTTATTAATTTATTCTACTAACCAGTTCTTTTATTTAATTTATATATATATATATATATATATATATATATATATATTTTATGTATATTGTATGATTAAATTTATATAAAATTAAATGATTAAACGTGTAAGTTAATGAAGATCATCTTCTCTTGACATGTCAGATTTCATTTTATATGTTATAATTTTTAAGTTTCTTGCGCGTTCGCTCATGATTCATGACCAAGATACACTTATATATAATTGGTGACTAAATCTCCATTAGGTGTAATAATTTTGTATAATCAAACTTTAAATTTTATAATAAGAAGGAAGCTTGAATTGAACTACCCATGGTGCGTTTCTTTTCTATGCTTCTTTTTCTTTCCAATCTCTATGATCTTTGATTAATTTATCTAGTTTATGGATCGAACTTCGTTAATCACTTCATGTTTAATTAACACCACGTGATACTTGATTTTCCCAAGCTAGATGTGAATTGAAGAAACCAGCAAAAGGGTGGTTGGGCAGTCTTGTTGTTACAAATTTGAAAAAATTTAAAATAATAAAATCAAATAAAATAAACAAAAAATATATATATATATTGTTTGACACTAAATTATTGTGCAAATCTGTGTTGATACTATTATTACAACCATTACACATCCACTTGTTCATGACATGGCTATGTCAACTTAGACATTATGGACCACCTAGTGGGAGGAAATGTACCACAACACATCATGAAATTTTGGATTGTATATGAAATTTGAAAATTTTCAGTTTTGATGCTAAGTTGACGATAATGTGGGTGAAGTGTGATTTTAAAAAGAAATTAATTTAGAGAAACCAAAAGCCTTCAAAATATTAAAATATTAAATTGTCTTTCGCTTGCAAATTAATGGTATCCCAATCATATGTTAAAATAAAAATAGAATAAAATAACAAAGAAAAAAAAAAAAAAAAAAGATTAATGGTGACATATACAGTGACGTTTTGTTCATTAAAAGATGAACTTTTGAAGCAATCAACACCAATTATCAAGACATATAGTCGGTTAATTTTTATTTTTTGGGTCGGTGGATGCTGTATCAGCAAGCTATATATATATACATACATATATATATATATATATACACACACTCCTCGGCGGGTTGCATATGTAATTGTATATATTATTATTCAATAGTTGAGCTTAGTGACGTGAATTTTCAATGTCTCCACTAGTCACGGATGCCTAAATTATAGATTCCTTAACCAACCGACTTTACCTTTAAAAACTATCAACTGTAAGGACAGGACTAACCTAGAATTAAATTAATTAATTAGTAACGGTAATGATGTTATTATATATATATATATATATATATATAAAGGTAGGCTACAATCTTCGATTAGGAAAACAATTTGGGAAGTTGATAATTGCATGCATGCATTCTCAGAAAAGAAGATTAACTTCCAAAGATGAAAACAAATTTGTACTTGGATATAATAACCCAATCCCACCCGTCATACTATAAAAATGCCAATAAATATACACACAGTAACACACACAGAGGCCGCATGGCCTTCTAATTTGGAAGGATATGTTATGCAAGAACTAAGAAGGAACACCGAGGCACAAATAATAGAGAAGCGAATGTGTGAATTGTGTGAGGTGGGTCTGGATATTCGGACAAAGGGTGGGGTCTCACAATTCAAGATTTTGGAACAGTTAATCTTCACTGAAGACAAAAACAACAATAAGACAGTCCTCACTGAGCGCTTGTTACCTTGTCGGTTTTACACCATATCGATTTTAGTCCATTTCACATTATTACCAAGAATAATAATAATAAGGTAACCAAATTATTTATATACTATATATATATATAGATAACCATCCTCGCATGCATAGACCAGAAAAGAACAAAGCACCTGCTAGTCACGCTAGATTTCATTTGTTTGTAAATTATGTAAATTAGTTCAAATTTCAAACTTGATGAGACTGGAACCAGTAAGTTAAAGGATTTCAAAATCTGACCAACCAAACTGTCTGTGCTGCAAACTTAACCAAGGAAGATACGTAAAGAATATAATAACATTTGATTATTATGCAGACTTTATACTTCACCTCATAATTAAACCTTTATAATATTTTATCGAGAAGTCTTACATTAAATTAGAGGCGTATACGTCCGATTTGGTTCGATTTTAAAGATTTTTGAAATCAAATCGCTCCCTATGGTTCTAGAAAATTTAAAATCAAACCAGACCATTGATCCCGCGCAAACTGTGAAAAAATGATTTGGTTTGGTTCAGTTCGGTTTTATAGTTCTAGTTGCATGAGAGAGATTGATCAACAATTGATCCCACGCAGTAATGAGAACTAAGAAGTAAATGAGGCAACGTGAGTCAAAAAAAAAAAAAAAGGATAGTGGAAGAATGTTGGCACGCACCCAAAAATAAAAATATTGAGAGAATCAAAAACAAATAAAAAATATTATATAATAATGAATCTTAACTCACGTTTGATCGTTATGCCGAAATTTTTTACAAAGTTAATAGTAGTATATAGGTATATTTATAAATATATATACATATTATAATGATTCGGTCTGGACCGGTCTGATCCTACTGGACCGTAATCCGGGACCGAATCAAAAATTCACAATTTTATTATTTTAGAACAGTAATTGAACCAAATCGCTATGAAACTGGCCCAGATTGTATTATTCGATT